TTTTTCTTTTAACAGAGTGATTAGGCTGTATACCTGTGACTAGTTAAACAGTTAGCTGATCCTTATTTTTGTTGTAACTGTGAAGATGATTTCTGTGGGTTATAAAATAGATGCGTTATGTTGTAAAAATAGATTATTTGTTTCTTCCTCATAAGATTTGATAAATTGATTTAATTACATTCATTGATTTAGTTCCTTGTTGGGACTTGAATGTGGGGAGACTGACACTGTGGAATCCTTGCTGAAAATCCTTAGAGACACCGAGAGCGAAGCCGCAGCAGCGGCGGGTTCCCGCGCTTCTGAGGCTTTGCTCGGGCAAAGCCTCAGAGGCGCGGGACCGCGCCGCGGCTGCGGCTTCGCTCCCGGTGCCCCTAGTCTGCTGGGGACCATCTCCAGCAGACCAGGGGCACCGGGAGCAGCTTTTCTCGCCCCGGAGGTCGAGGTGGCGGATCGCTGCCTGTGAGCTCCGGGGCGAGAAAGCCCCGTTCGTAAGTGCGGATCCGACATAAGTCAGATCCGCATAAGTCGGTGACTGCCTGTACTGGACTGTCCAGTTCAAAACCGGACACCTGGCAACCATAGGGGACCATCTCCAGCAGACCAGGGGCACCGGGAGCAGCTTTTCTCGCCCCGGAGGTCGAGGTGGCGGATCGCTGCCTGTGAGCTCCGGGGCGAGAAAGCCCCGTTCGTAAGTGCGGATCCGACATAAGTCAGATCCGCATAAGTCGGTGACTGCCTGTACTGGACTGTCCAGTTCAAAACCGGACACCTGGCAACCATAGCAATGGCACACCCTTATGACGGTTTCTCATACTGCACACTGTGAATATCAATTACTTTGGTTTCATTTTCTTGACTGTGCAAATGTTCAATAGCTTCACAGGGTAGCTGAGTTAGTTTGTAACAGGAAAAACTTAAGGTGCCACTACACTATTTGTTGTTTAAGGACTAACAAAACATGTAGATGGTATCATGAGCTTTCGTGGGCACAACCCACTTCTTCAGATGACAGGAGTGTAGGAAGTCCAGATCCAAGTTTCTTGAAACTTGCCAGGCACTAGTCTGTGAGGGGAGCCAGTTTAAAACCAGCTCCCCTTGTGGCTCAGTTGCCTGTTGCTCCACGCTGTTTCCTTTGATACAGAATCAGCAGTGGAGGATGGCAGCATCCTGTGTCCATGGGGGAGGGGGTCTGAGCTCCTGGACCCAGTGCAAGCCAGGACTGAGAAGGGCTGCTGGCCAGCCCGCTAAAAAAATTTACTGGCAGGGGCAGGGGGAAAATGTGATCTCATGGGGAAAAAATCAGCTCTAACACACTAGGTTATTCATGAAACTATAATCACATCAACTCCTCTATAAAGGGTTTTCATGGCTTTTGTTTGTATGGGTTCCTCTGCCTTGGGGTGACTTTCATCCTATTGATATCAAATATTTTTCAAAATACCAACTTTCCCTCTACTTGTTGAAAGAGCCAAAAAAGGATTGGGCTTAACATTTTGCAATTTGGTTTACAGTTTTCCTATACATAGAGCTAGGATTGAAGCCAGAATCTGAACTGTACATGCATTGCAACATCGACTTTAAGTGGAAATAGTTTTTATTTTTCCAAATGGCAGCCCAGCCTAAGAGATGAAGTTAAATTATTCCTCCCTTCTCGTTCACATTTACCTGGAAACCTGACCCCACTAAACTGTATTAAAGGTGCAGTTGTGGCATAGCTGGGCTAGGTCGTCCCCGTAATGTGCAATATAATTTGAAAGTGTTTACTATTAAAATAATTTAGAAGTCTATTGATTTTTATCCATGATGCAGTGAATAGAAATTAAAAGGTTGCTCTTAAAACGTTTTATTAGATTGAAGTCTTGACACACATTATGCATAATTGTAATTAACTTTTATATTCAGCTGCAATAAAAGCCGTCTATTCATTAACATCCTGCTTAGTAATAAAAGCATTTTAACTCCAAAGTTTCCAGAAATATACACCAAATAAAAGTAAAATTGAAACACAACTCTTAATCTTTTTCCTTCTACATTCCACCAAGTTGAACTGAGCATTATTGTATTGACTCAAAATAAGAGATACTTTCATATCAGTTATTCTCTTTACAGATAAACCCATCAAAATCTGGTGTAATTTTGAAGTGTAGAATCTGTTATAATACAATATATTGTAGATTTCATAATTAGGGAATTAAAAAAAATCTGAGAAACCTGAAATTCAATACAAGTAGCATAATGAAGTATCATCTTTATGCAATAGAAAGTGCCATTAGCTTTCTTATTTTATCACACTGTACAGTTGCAAGATTTCTGCATGTGAAGGAGTTCTTCTTGGAGCCAAGGTCAGGGAACTAGCTCTCGCCCCATCTGGAATTCCTTTCCCACCAATATTTTGCTCTATGGCCCCTCTTTTCATGACTTGGGATACTGCTTCTTCGTTACTTGTCCATCCCCAGCTGCCTGTGCTCATTGGGGCAGAGGAGCCATCTTGCGCGGCCATTCAAAATGGATTTTTCAAGATGGTGGTCGCCAGCAGGAGCCTAATGTGACCTAAAAAAAGCCTGTAACTGCATTTCTTAAACGGGCAGCCTCAATGACGGGAAGCCGGAGGCAGAGCAGCAGGGGCGTCTGCCGGGTAGGTACCCTAGCGCTGCCCCTCAGGGCTGCAGGACCAACCGGGCAGCATCCCATCTGCTCTTGGGGACGCCTGGGGCATTGCAGCTGGAGTGCGGCCGGGTTGGTCCCGCAGCGCCAAAGGATGGCGCTGCGGGACCAACCCGGCAGGACCCCAGCTGCTCTGCCCCAGAGGTCCCCGATTCAGCCGCTGCTCTGCCCGGGGCTTCCTGGAATCAGCCGCTGATCTGTTTCAGCAGCAGCTGGATGGGGGGAG